ATGAGGGGATAGAGTTTAACAGACTTGGTAAGGAGCACTGAAGCTGTTCTGGAGGCTTGTGATCGCCTGACTGCATACTACGACACTTGATTTGGTTTTTCCCTTTAATGTGTCACCCTCATCTGTATGTGTTCTACAGAAATTTAAACAAAAATGTAAAGTTGGAAAAATGTGTTAGCAGAGATTCTGCAAAATGTTTCTGCTCACTAAGAGGCCTGATCGAGAGCCAGAGACCTGATCTAGAATGTGCCCAGTCTAATCTGTGTTGACTACTGAATGAGATCAAAGGTTTTGCTCAGTCTTTGTGACTCAAACAAGCTGGCGAGGTGAGAGACGCAAGATAGATTTGACTTCCAGTGACAGCGTGAAGGATTATTCATTGATGATGTTCTTCAAGTGCAACAGCCCACAGATGTACATCACATCTCCTCAGTTTATGTCCAACAACATCAAAGCCTTTTCTCCTCTCAGGGAAGCCTACACTATGAATTAATTTGGCAAAGAGGGGAAAAAGGAAAGGTTCTCCCACAGTAAAAATTTATTGAAGCATCACGTGAAAACAAGGTGTAATGAAACAGTGACAAACTGTTACGCGTTACATTGAGCTTCGACAGTAATAAGTAAACTTTGAGGACTGACAAGTCATGCTGAGAGGACATTTGGTTACAGGCTGTTCACCATTAACAAAACAGAGGCAATGTTTATGTTATCAATATCTCATAAATAACACACCTGGGACATCTGATGAGACAATAGGGTCAGATGATATTTTGTACTTTGCTTTGAACAGAGACAAAGACTGGATCAAAAGGTGTTCATGTGCTCAGTTGTGCTTGGTGCCACTTTAATTTTACGCAATCTGATGGTGCCTCAAAATGGAGCCATGATTATAGTGTTAACAAGTCCAAATGAATTTTAAATTCTCTACAAATGCAGAAAACATAAAATCATTCACTACTATTCAGAAGACAATAAAGTGGACTCTCACGGTGTCCACTTGAAGGCCAAGCTCATCGTGTACTCAGCTTCACATGTCAACAGTTCAACAAGTTTATTTAAAGCCAGTATGATCTCTAATGTTTGTAAGTGAGGCATGGCGTTTATTATTTTGTAGCCAGGTGGCATATTGTAATGACAGTGGCTACAGGAGAGTAGTCAAACAGCAACCTAATTAAAATAAATCGTTGAAGCAAATCACTGCCAGGATGCTGTTGTTTAAAATAAGGTGTCACTGACCATAACCCACTGAAAACAGATAACACCTCATGATAGACAGATTGTGTACACAAAGATCAGTACATGCAATATTAGGAAATCAATAAGGATTTAAATGAGATTAGTAGTTAGCAAAAGTAGATTTCTTCCACCAAACCAAAAGACAATCATTATGTGCTTTACATGTTATTCTTGTAGAGATAATTGCAGTAAAGGTCTTTCAGACATAGTTAACCAGACCTTTGTCAAATCAAAGTCAGTCTGTCTGAGCTTCTTTTGTGTTCTTAATGGTTTGAATCTGAGAATGTTTAAATTATCTCACTGTAGAGGGGGAATTATGTTCACACTGTGTTTCATCTGCACTGGAATAGCAGCAGTAGTTGTATGATGACATACAGCTAACTGCTTAATATCACTTTTCTTTAGGTTTGAACACTGAACTAAAAGGAAGCAAAATCAATTTCAACTGTATAATGTGACTTCTTATTTATGCAAGAAGGGAAATCACTTTAGTTGAATACACATTATAGACCAGGCTACACTAAGGCTATCTTATCTCTATCTATACTACTACGTTTCCATGTTAAAATGCTGCACTTTTGGTACGTTGACTTCCGTCCACACTAAAACAGCAATGTAGAAGGTTGAAAATGCTGCTGACCCCGTTTTTGTTTTAAAACATCGGGGTAGCATATTACCCTGCGATGGACTGGCGACCTGTCCTGGGTGTACACCGGCTTTCGCCCGATGTTGGCTGGGATAGGCTCCAGCCCCCCGCCGACCCTGTACGCAGGATAAGCGGTTGACGATGGATGGATGGATGGATGGATGGGGTAGCATATTAGTGCTGACAGGCAAAAACGGAGGACTTCGAAAACTATGCCACAGACACTCACATTTGGCTTCCTGATTGGGTCTTAACAGTCATGGTGTATCCTTCCCTGATTCGTCTAACAGTAGTGGAATGCAACATGGATAACGAATTACAAGCTTAACTGACCTTGATGTCTGTGCTAGCAGCTCTTCTATCATTGAATCTTCTGCAACTGCTGAGTAGACGATGTCCTGTGGGCGTGAATGGTCACATGATCTGTATGAATGTCATGTGATGTGCGCATTCAGTCAGTTTAGACTGGTACAAAAAGGAAGAGCAAATTCCTACTGCTGCCCTAACAAAACATAATTTGTCTAATTGTATTATTGTCTTGTATTTTTGTGCATATTATAGGTTTGCAGGGTGAAAAAGCCCAAAGTCCACCTCAAAGGGAGTTCCCATCTCGCACAGGGTTTGGCCAATAGACGAAGCCATCCTCCATTGGCGATGGCTCACAGACATCACGACGTTGAGCTGTCATTGTGATTGTAACCCCCTGCCGCAAAAAATGATCTCAATTTATCACATTATACCACCCTGTGAAAGCAGGTTTTAATCACAACGAACATTATTACTACTATTTTTAAATGTACCTGCTTTCCACCTGCCTCAGACTTCTCTTCTCCCTACACATCTACACCTCTGGTCGCTCACTCTGTCTCTCCCCCCCCCCCGTCTGCTCTAGTTTCTCCATCAACAGCAGACCTATGTTTTATAAAGTTAAAAAGGCACAGAACTCGTCTTTTTGGCAGAGTTTTCCACCCGGGACCCGCTATCAAACAACCGACACCAACACCTGCACCCTATGTGTTCACAGCTGCTTTACCTGGTCCTTGCTTGTAAAATATCCACCGCGACTTGCAACATAATAGGCTTTCAAGTTTTTTACCAAGTCTATGCGAGTGAATATATGCACATAACATGACAGCTACCCCCCACCCCTCACCCAACCCCTCCCGATCATGATGTTTTATAGTAGCCAGTGTCCGATGGAAATTTTATAGACCTTGTCCAACCCTAATCTCCCCCAGAAAACACTGCTCTGAACTGCTTGACAGTTTACCGGCTTCTCACAACTTGCCCTACTCTGCTTCTGATCGGCTAGCAGTCCTTACCTAGGAACTGCACGTGTGCAACTCCCAAAAAATATCTTGTACAGGTGAGATGCATCACTCCATAGCTAAAACAAAGCATTCAACATGCACGGTGAAAAGAGGAGCTGCAGCAATGTGCAGCATGACCAAAACTATGATGTTTGTGGAAAATTGATTCAATCTTTGTGAACATTGTTTTGTTAAATTTGATTTGATCTGCTCTTTGCCACATAAGTAAGCAATTAGTGATGGTCTTATAACTCCAAGACTATAAAAAGACAAAATGTGTTAATAGCATTAGTTTGTTTACTCATGGGAGAGTCACAGCGTTCTGGGTTAATTTCAGGGATTTACTAAGCTTTACTTTACTTATCCAAAACGGCATTCAAGGATGTCCCCCGGCCAACCATGTCAGGAGCTTTTTATTCTCACATCATTTTAGATCTTTATGCTATGAAACATACATTTCTATAACCAACAATGTATAACCAACTTGTCTACACATGTGTTAAACATGTATGAATGTATTAAATGTGTAGGGTTTTTTTACATTTATTCATTTAGCTGACACGTTTATCCAAAGAGACTTACAATTGCAATTTATGTCAGAGGTTGCGTGCCTCTGGAGCAACTAGGGGTTAAGTGTTGTGCCACAGTGGGAAGTTGAACCCGGGTCTCTCACACCAAATGTGTCTTATCTTATATCTTATTTTATGGGTATAACATTTGCGTGTCCACATACATTTGGCCAAACAGTGTATTTATGTAGATTCCCTGCTGTTACCAAAAGTGCAAAATCATGAATTGCGTCACATCATGAAGATGCAAATCCACTCTTTAAACAGTGTATTTGTTCATATAATACACTTTTCTCATGGCTGTGAGAGTTGTTGGCACCTGACAAAGGTGTATCTTACAACATTAACAATTGCTGCATTCCATTTACAGTAGTTTCATTTACCTAATACTATAATAACTGCAATAGGAACATCAATATATTCACTCTGTTCATTTCCTCATTACCTGAACTCTGTGATAACAACGCCTCAAATGCTAGCATGCTGTCAATAACAAAAATCAGAAATGCTCCAGCACAAACTCGTTGACCCGTTAATAATTCCTGATCTGCAGTTTGCGCTTATTTATACAGGGCAGACAATGGACGGTCAAACTGCACACGTTGTAGCAGAGCTTTACGGACCTAATGCTTAAATTTGGTATTCTTTACGACGTACAGTATACACAATAACATTATTACTGTGGATCTGCCTGAATCTGCAGTGGGAGGCTGCCTGGTGGGATAAGGACTCATTTCCAATTATTAACATAATCTTCCAAGCAAGAATTACAATGAATATCTAATATAGGATTACATTTTTTCCCCCACCTGTAAAGACAACATCAGTTTGTTTCAGCCTCTACTGTATGTACACATTGGTCTGTAAACCAGTTATGCACACCTTGGACCTTGTGATTGTATAGTCGTGTTCTTTCACATTCCACTTTTTGAAGTTGAACGTCTTGGTCATTACCAGTCGTCTTGTTCAATGTCATTTCCAGTAAACTAAGAACAAGAAATAACCGGTAAGACAAGTGTAGAGAGAGAGAGAGAGAGAGAGAGAGAGAGAGAGAGAGAGAGAGAGAGAGAGAGAGAGAGAGAGAGAGAGAGAGAGAGAGATACTGACTCAAGGTGTAAAAGGGTGGAGGAGGGAGGAAAGGGGAAGTAGAGAGTCTGGAGAGAGAATGTAAGTGGGTGGTGCATACAGTAAGCAGAAAAACAGGAACAAAGTGATAACACATGCCAAAGTACACCTGCACACCTGAGTAAAGCCACTCCTTTCCCAGCACACATGAGAGATGGCTGAGTAATGGAGGCAGGGAAATGCAGTGAAACCCAATTCAACTTTAATATCTGACAGACCTTTCGACATCGACTCTGGTTTTGTTTGGAAGAATATTGAGAATAGAATAATGGAGATTAGGGACGTGTTGCTTTTGTTTAGAACCCACAACACCGCGGCAGCAATTTCAGAGTAGGACTTTGGTTTTTTCTTTGACCCAAATACCCAGTGAAGATGTGGTCTATGAAGGTCATCATCCTCCTCCTGTTCTGCTATGGTGAGTACAGACGAGCTAACTGCCTGTAATCAACATCTGTAAATCAAACATTTAACGGGCCATTTTGTCAACAAAGTAGTCCTAATAGCAGAAATAAATAATACCACCAATGCAATAAAGCCTAGTAATATATTTTACAGAGTGATTCCCTTTCATCTGAAATGAAGGAGAGTCCCAGAACACAATGAGGACTTTGGTCATTTTAAATGATAGTGATCGATGGAAAATGCAACTTCAATTTTGTCTAACTGATGCAGTATTGACTATATCATTGTACAGCTTATAAAAATGCTAATATTCGGAATGGACTACTGTGGGTATAATTGTCTTTCACATCTTCAATAAACTACATGGGCTATAACATTAAAACAGTAATATGCCCTGGTTTGGTAATCACTAACTAGGGAGATATGACTCAACAGCATGAAAATGTGATCCGTGTATGAATCATTCATGCTATCTGGAGGTTCTGTTATGTATCCATTTCCTATATGTCTGCCAGAGAGATGGTTAAAGGGAAGTTAAGGAACAAAGCGTCGTTTTTAATTTCTGCTACCAGCGCCAACAAAGCAGTGTATCAGCACTGTAATGCTCAGGCCTTAGCAGCTCTTCTGTAAAAAGTGAGTGACTCTGCCTCTCTCAGGACTTGATTTAACGGGGAGCTGCACTGGCTGAAGATGCTGGGGCTTGAACGGTTTATGTACAGTGATTGAAAACTTGGGGGGGGGGGCAGAGATAAATAGGAGATGTAAGAGTCTTTACCTACTTGTAATTTAGCACAAAATGTAAAAGCTACAAAATTTTAAAAAATATTAAAATGTACTAAGCTATATTATCAAATTGACATTTATTTAGGATTTATTAATTTTCAGGTTGAATGAGAACAAGAACACAGCATTAGCATCTGCCATTAAAATGATGATTTACATAGACTTTACTCTTTTTCCCTTTTTTCCCTGTAGCATGTCTTTCAAGTGACAATGGAAGAGTGCATTTTGTCTCCAGGAACTTTAACAACACACTCCACTGGGACGCTGTGAAGCCTGCCTTCCCTGGGGAAGAGGTCCTCTATAGCGTCCAGTACAGGAGGTAAGACCCAGGAAGACAAATGAGTGATAATTATTACAACTTTACTTCCATTGGCCTTTTGCACCTTTGAGCCTCCATGTACAGATCCGTATGGAGAGGTGGGTCAAAGTAGAAATAGCAGGGTGCAGGGTAAACAGTTGATTAGCTTCACAGTGTCAGTCTACAGTTCAAGGAACTCTAAAATGAGTAATTTGTAGACTGGACACCAGACGGTCTGTGCTTATCTATGGGGTGAATATACTTTATACGTTTACAGTGGATCTAACTCAAACGTAGCACATCTTGTATTGTTTGACATTATAGTGTCATCTCATGCTGACAAAGACTATTGTTTTCATTAAGAATAAGTCGTTAAGAGAGTTTTTTTTATTCACAATGATTCCTATGAAAAGACCAAAAGCAACAATATATTGATCATACTAACAAGTACAAGCTTACTCTGCGCCATAAATCTCCATTGTTACCCAAAATCTATAAATAAAAAACATCAATAAGCCACACTGTCGTGCTATTTGATATGTTCCTTAATTATGATGAACATCAACACCAAAGTTAATTACACTGTCCTGCTGCTGTAAATACTCAACTTTCAACATGTTTAAAATAACAAAAATATATCTTATTTGCAGTGCTATCTATCCATCTAAATTGTTTTGGTGCGATTTGCCGTGTTTTAGAGATATCAGCCGTAGAGATGTCTGCTTTTTCTCCAATACAATGGAACTAGATGGCAAAGCGCCCAAAAATGCGCCTAAAAAACACAACAGCAATGTCTCTTTCCAGAATTCGTGACCTGGTTCCTCAAGATGAGATCTTGTGGGAACTATTTTCTCTTACTACCAAACTACACACACCAACCTTATCACCACTTAGCAGGAAACATTCAACAATAGCCAATAGCAACAATAATATTCTAACCAATAGTTTGCTATTGCTGCTAGCTAATACAGCTGAGCTAGCTACAGCTAAGTCGAGGACACCATATAAACAGCACTAAAAGTTAAGAGAAAGAAAACAAAAACTACCATGCAGCTATTGAAGTGTACCACAGTGTTTGGTTTAACTCAACTGCCAATGGCTTACAAGTGACACTAAAGAATAGCCATAGCTATTAGTACGGACTGCACCCTGCTGTCTTCTTTGAAACCACAGTGCGCTTTTGTGCCTTCCAAGTAGAATTTTGTGCTTTCTTCTTTTCACTGTCTCAACAAAGTGGAAATGTCATCTTGTCTAATTACTCATGACGCAGTCGCCCAGACAAATGTCAAGTGCCACCCCTATCCTATTGACTTTTCTCCCAGCCACTGTCACCTTTGCTGGAGTGACTACCAGCATCAAATCAGCTGCAGAGGACGACTGGTTTAACTATGTCCGCTCAATATCAGTTCCTCGTTAAAACAAAAAGGGCACTGTGTGTTCAAATGATAAATGGGTGATTTGATATAGTCAGGGTGATCTTTGTATGGCTATTTTACTGCCGCCATGTACTTCCCAGAAGTGCTTCAGTGCCTGACTGTACAGAAGGTTGTCAGAATTTCATATCTTGGTGTTTACCTAATAATACTTATTTTTTTTAAATGTCTGTGGCTCAAACTAGACAATAGACAACTGTATCAAATGGTAAATATCTTCAGGGAAATAAAGTCCACACAGCACATTTTGGTTTTCATGGGGTACCAGTGAAACTACAGTAATACACCAAGCCATGTTCACGTTCATCCGGTATCACAGTCTGATCACATTGTACTGCATGTTTTACAGTGATGCTGTGGAACAGCAATTCCAGATAAAAGAGGACTGTCAGAACATTACTGTTCTGTTCTGTGACCTGACTACAGAAACCCCATCAGTTCCTGATGTTCACTATCAGGCTCAGGTGTATGTTAATGGTAACATCCACGGCAGCACTATCAGGTTTAAACCTATAGCAGACAGTAAGGATCTCCATACTCATTAATGCATATTTTTGTTTCTTCTAAGCCGGGTGTATTTTACTGCAACTTTTATTCATCTTTCTTTGTCTCCATAGCTATGCTTGGTCCGCCCACCTTGTCTATAAACACAACCGTGTCATCCTTGAATGTTAATGTCACCCTGCCCTTGGGGCCAAACGGAGTCTCCATTGCGGACATCTTCAACACAAGCAAAAATGGGCCCTCCACAATTGTAACCCTTTATAGATTATACATCACTCACCCAAAGTGGGCTGCACGGGTGAGTCACAAATTCAAACAATACAATATACTTTAAACTTATTTATTCAGTCATAGAATTATGCAACCAAAGTCAAACCAAAGATACAGTACAAGAAATTATTGTACTACCACATTGTATTTTTACACTGCGGTAAAAACAGGCCTATATTATAATTAAATAATCACAATTATAAGTTGACAAACATACCAACTACTGTTTTTTTAATTATAAAGACAAACTAAATGTTAAAGTGTTATTCAAGTTGCTTTAAAACTTAGATTTGGCCTTTAAACTGTGATGTTTCTTTCTGTTATCCATCTGCCCTGTCAGGTTGTTGTCTTAAAGTTTTTTGGTTGTTCCTACTGAGTTGAAAAGTTTCTTGAGTTTAACAGACCTGTGCAACCAGCAATGGACTAAAATGCTATCCATATGACCCACTGTGTCTCCAGGACAATCAATCCTCAACTGGCCAGTTCGTCATTAATTTGAAGAACAACCAAACAAAGTACTGTGGCTATGTGGTCTATATGCCTAATTTTGAATGGGGTCGTTCAAAGAGTGAGAAGGCCTCCTTCTGTGTCACATTGCCAGGTGAGGACAACGCTGAATCCAACATCTTCTTCTCTGTATTGATCAGCACATTAATTTTGGGCAATAATTGCTAAGAAGTGCATTACCAGCAAATGATATACCCAGTATTTCATACAAATATCAGGTGTAGATGATTTTATTTGTTATTGTGTGTTTTCACATATTTTAGCCACACTAGGCTATTTCTGCATAATGTAAAAATCACTTGCCAAAGTTAATGAATAACTTCATGTGCATTTCTAAAAACTTGACTGAAGGGAGTAGATACCCTTATATTTACAAAAACTTTATTTCACTTGAGGCAACAGTGTGGCACTCAACATCGCACTGGGAAGCTTTCATGGAAGCTGTGGAGAAAATGAAAATCATGATACTTGAAATGTTTGCGTCTTTCTTTTACTTGAAGTAGTTTGCACTCATCTCCTCAAGTGATTGCAGTCTCTTGGAAACAATGTAGTGTTTAGTAATAAATCAAGACAGTTTGCTATAAATCACTTTCTTTTTTCGGCACTGTATCTGCACCAAGCTTCACTGTCACAGTGACACAGGTAAACTCCACTTGTTAAAACTAAGCAGAAGCTGTTTTTCTGCAAGGAAATGGAAAATGTTGGTATTGGCCACATTGTTCATACTGTGAATCCATGAGTCTTCTAATGATACTCTTACTAACTCTTGAATCATAGTAAAAAGAAATTAAATGCTTTTCCAAGACAAAAGATCTCATAAGTGTTTGGGCAGTGACCACACCATCCTCTTTTATTATGGTACTAATGAGAAAGGAGATGACATTCTTTCTCGCCTTAGCTTGCCTTATTGCTAATTCTCTACTGCTAAAATGGACAATAACCAATGTGGACGACTACAGGCAATTCAAACTTGCACTCAAAGCCACAGTTATCCTATTCCTTAAGGGTGGAATATCCACTGTTGAAGTTCCTGTTAACCAGCATTCCATTGCTTCTGAGAAGTACTTGTATGCATTGTACATCCTGGAATATATGTACTCAACAGCCCTACGTCAGAGGCATGTTACAAAGCTACTCCCTGACAACATGCCTAAGCTTGTGCGTCAAAAAGGGTAATTTTTTTAAATCACTGTTTTTAAGCAGTTGGAGATATCTGATTTTACAGATTGGTTGTTTTTTCCCCAGATAAGTATATGACACCAACTCTCTCCCCCTTCAGATGATCCTGTGATGGTTGTGCCATGGCTTCTCGTGAGTGTTGCTCTTCTGGTGGCCATAGTCATAATATCAGTTGTGTGTATGTGCAACTATGTGAAGGGCGGAAAGGAAAAGAGCATGCCACAACAACTGGTAAGACAATTCTTTCTGCTGGTGTCCTTTGGTGTGTATGGGTTACGACAAGGAAATGTTTCCTTATTGGAAAATCAAGCCCTCTGGCACTTTATTTACAGTACACATGTTCAGGTTGGTTACGTTGTGCAGCAACCTAAAAGTAACTAAAGGAACTCAAACATTGTGGATGGTGTTTTAGTACAGTCAAAGATGTTTCAGTGACTCGTGGTGCTTTCGGTAATGACAAAATATAGTGTGTTGGAAGTCTTGTGTTTTGTTATTTGTCTTGTATGTTTATTGTGGCTATTAAATGTATTAAACGTACAAAAAACTCACTATGATCTTTGCATGTTTTAACAGATCTTCTACACAGCTACCATATTTACTTTATCCATTTTAAGTTTTTTATCGTGGTATAGTCTCACTTCTCAATTTTCTTATCTTCTTTTTTCTAATCAAATGAAAAGTTGTTGATTAATCTACAAAAAATAAAAATAATAAAAATAAAAAATCAATCTCTTATTTGACTTTGATGGGGCTGTTTTCTTTATCTTCAAAGCAGGCACCCATATCCAGCACTTCAGTCAGAATAATGCAGTCTCCGGATGGGAATATCAACATTTCCAAACCAAAGGTCTGTGTTCAAAGTGACCACACAGTTTACGCAACTATCCAGGTGAAGCCAAATGTGCGACCAAACGGGGTTGGAGGTTATTCTCCCCAGGATGTCCCCTGCCAATCCTCGCAGGGCAGCATTGGCTCCTATGTGGGTAAAGGTGCACGCAGTCCGGTCCCAAATCCAGAGGACACAAGCGCCCAGTCCTCAGAAATCTACAGTGTAGTGGCTGTCCATGTCCCTGCTGAAGAGAATGAAAATTTTCACCAGACTACCATTGAAGACAGAGAAACCAGTAACCTACCATTGTCTTCCAGGGGAGAAAGCTGGGATAAAGCTGGAATGGGTCCAAAGCAAGACTCACATGAACTACGACCATTACTCAATCTGAAGACTTGTGAGAGCAATCCAGACAGCCCACTGCTATTAAAAACAGTGCGCAATACCAACGGACAACTCATGTTGCCTTTATTCACCTTTCAGTTACAGAGCAGCACAGGTGACACAGTATCACCCCTTAACTCAGAGAGAAAGCTCCTTTTATCTGACCTCATAGACTCCAACGAGGGGCCATCGTTGGCATCCTTGCAGAGCTTAGACAGCTCAGAGTGGTCAGACTCAGGGTGTGATGATAGCACTGTAAACACACCAACCCAGCCATCCTGCAAAACGCATTATTTCCCTTCTCAACCAGCTGTTCCTGATTTCCACCTGAGATGTCAGAACACACCATCCAATAATGCAGTATTTGAATCAGGTTACAAACAAAACTGGATGCCTGAAACCCTTCTTGGAACTACATACAAGGACAGTTGTGAATACAGAAAGACAACCTTACCTTGGATCATGACTGGTCCTAGAAAGGAGGAGGAAGGTGAGGACGAGGAAAACAGAGGAGGAGAGGAGAGATCAAGCCAAATTCATCTGGGAGGTTGGGTGGTACAAATTCAAGAATAATTCTCCTCTCTCTAGCATTAAAGACGTTTCATTGCAGTACCCTTTTTCATAAAACAGGGAGGAGCAAGCTGACGGGAGCACTGACAGGTGTTTTAGTGACAATGCAGATGAATGGTGTTGCTGCGTGCTTTGTGCCTGATGATGCAGGAGCCTGTCCTTTAGAGAAAAAAAACATATAGGTTGTTTTCGCCACAAAATGTTCCAACTCATGTTCACATTTATTGTGGCAGCATTTCTACTTGCCATACAACGCAAACACATGACAAACACGGACATGTATTATAGTCAAAGTTATACACCTGTTGGGTTAGCTACGTTAGCTTCGAAGCTACTATGTTAGTAGTTACTATTACAGACGTTGACAGCCCCCCGTAGCCCCTAACTCTTACCGTAACCAGAGAACCTAAACCTAAGTCAGTGATTGTATGCATATCAACTGGTGAACCCAACAGCTGTGCACATCTGCAAGCAGTTTTTTAGGTTCATATGAGTCGTATTTGGTTAAAACGACCTATGTTGTCATTTAGGTTGGAGGACTTGTTTGGATGCAGACAGATGTTTAAACTTTCCATAAACATTTAAATACATTTCATTCCTACTTGTGATATACGTTTTGCTGTAAATCTGACTTTATTTATTAATCCACAATTGTTGTATAATATTAAAAATAAGTATGGATAGTACGAAATTTAGAGTTTACATTTGAAGAAATCATTGTATATACTACATTGTAAAGTCCTTGTTTACTTTGACAAGTCGTTGCTCCACTAAACAGAATTTGTATTTAAATACTGCTGAAAACTGAAACCAAAGTTAACTTCTTCTTGTTATGCGTCTATGTTGTGTATCACAAGCAGAAAAGGGATTATAGCAACTATAAAGTTCAAATCATCCCTTAATTTAAATGTCTCATAATATCAGGATATTCCACATGGATATATTATTATTTTTACATGGTTATGATAGTCTAAAGCTCTGTTTAGACAGCTAAAAGCTCTCATTTGTTTGCATAATGGAAAAAAAAAAAAAACCACACAACACACATGATCACACCAGTCATGTTTGTACTTTAAATGTGGACGGTCAGCCTTAAAGATTAGATATGAAAACAAACCCGATTGCCTTGTGGTTGAACAAAGCATTAGACACAATCTGACGTGTATCTACGTTTTGAGCGGTTGGGAAATGGGACTAGGAATGACTGAATTTCTACTAGAAAATATATTCCTATTTTCACACTTACCAACATATTTTTGTATCATCAGTGTGGTATGAAGTACATGGAATGATTGCATCTATACAGGAAAAATACTTTCAGGGAAAGAAAATACAGTGTGTTAAATATATTAGAAGGTGTGGTCAAGGTGCAACCTAAGCCACACTGATAATGGATATGTTTTTAACATCAGGTGTGTTGAAACAGTTTCAGTTACATATGGACAAATTGTAGAGCACAATACAGGTGAACTGTACATGTATATTGTGGACAAAAGTGTCTGCTGAATGAATCTAAACAAATAAATGTAATAAAAAATTGCAATTTGGTTTTATTCTGTATTTACAGATTGTGAATTTTTGCTTAATGTTTATCTTGGAAAGTTCATGTTGAAAAGGTTAAGTTGCATTCCATCATAACATTAAAAATTGAAAGAAATACTTTCCAAAAAACTGTACTTTACAGTATCATTTTTGAGTTATATTACTGAAATTTAGAAAAACTGATATTTTGTTTCTACAGTAAGCACATACAGACTGTTTTAAGTGTGTATTCGTTGGCTTGGTTGTAAAAGGTACTAGTATTTTGCACTTTTTGCCTTTTAAGCAGCGTTTACTTTATTCACTCTCGTTATCCTGCTGGTTTGGGGGGGTGGTGCGTGTTCAGTCGATATTGACTACCAGCTATATACAGCGTGCTAACCTCGAAAACCAAGCTGTATTCTAACATTAACTTATCTCTCCTTATTAACTAGGCTCCCTACATGCTTGCTAATAGCTTTGACAGTGTTGTGTTGGACAGATTTGTGCTCCTGTGTTCATGAGGGAGAGGGAGAGGGAGCAAGAGGATGTGCTGTACGAATGCGCTACGGCGCTCTGCAATCAAATACGATTTTAAATCAATATGTGGCGGTCAGCGTTGATATTGTGGCGGGCCACCACAAATGAATCAATGTATGAGAAACACTGAACTTTATAACTTGTATAATATATCAAATATAAAAAGTGCTGTAATCAAAAAGGCAGCATTCACGGTCTCAGAATAAAGAAGTGAGGTGGATTGCGCAAAGGATCCAAATTACAACTCAAAAGCCTTTTTCTACATAGTTTGTTATGTAGTATGTTTTCAATCAAGGAATGAAGATGAGAAAAGAGTTGTTTTTATGCTGGTTTCTGGTGAACTTAATTGAATCATTTAGCTATTTAATTAGCAGTCTGCCGTTAAATTACTGACAGTGTCTTTTTAGGTGGAAAACTGTATGGATGGTTAGAAATAACTTTAAAGCCTGTTTTCCTAGATTATGTTCTACAATGTATGTTTGCAGAATTCCATGGAAAGACGACCCAGATTTGAATACAGTTTGAAATTACAGTAGCTGTTTTAACCTAGAAGGGGATTTACCTATCATTTTAAATTGAGGTCCTTTCCTTTCTAAAACAGCTAGAAGAGGAAGTGATCCTCCCATTTAACTGTCCAACACAGAGAGGTAAACAATGTAGCTACTGTATCTGCATCTGTGGGACGTTTTCCAAGGGATAATATAAGCCTTGGGTGGACCTCTGGTTAACACCCATTGTTTGTTTGGTTATGCAACTGCTACCAGATACCCTAATGGAATATTTTACACTGAAAGCCTGACCTACATACAGGTAACAGGGAGGAAGTAACATATACGCATAATTTTAAAGGATGTTAACTTTGAAGTAACACAATTACAGGGGAAGCCATCCATTAAAATCAATTAGCGTTATCTTTTGTCTGCCTATAATTTGTTTTTTATATTGTGTACTAGAGATGTCCCAAGACGTTCCCAAGGATCAGTATCAGGGCATATTTTGTTAGATCATTAGCTATTCATTACTGAACTCTGTTTGTCCACTACATGCTGTTGCACCACTGCTCTCCTTTGCGACAGCAGGGCTCTACAGTGAGATCATTCAGCTGCATGTGCGAGTGAAAATTAGTGAAAACCTTAACGTTAATTCCCTGAGTGACTTGATAACAAGCCAACATAAAACCTGTCTGTTGTCCGGTCTGTGTGGTAATTTTCACTGAGCACTTTGAGACCTAAAAATGTAGTCAATTGGGCTTCTGATGCCCACCCAGTAGGCTTCTGTTTAACAAGCTAAGCTAGCACGGCAGTATAAAGTTCCACAAAAAGCAACATGAAAAAACAGTTAGTAGTGTCCAACTTACTACTTTCATTATTCCGTTGGCTCAGTTTCTCTTGACTGTCCCTCAATATTACAACATTAGTCCGTCACCCCAACCTGTGGGACACCACAGGATGGGTACCAAAGCCGTGACCAAAGGGCGCCATGGCTAAATTATTAAAGACTGTAGTATTAATAAGCTCTGACATTACCGGTTCTTTTAATGGTTACACACACACACACGGAGCAAAGTCAGCAAACAGCAGAGTGGCTGCGGTGAAGACAGTAAAGTGAAGATAACTCAAAAAGATTACTCAGGCTAATGACAACTATGCTACATTACCGTACGTTCAAAACAAAACAACAAAACAAAAGATAACCATCCTGAAACAAACTAAATTCCCACTAGGGAGCAACCCATCAGCAATCCCAACACTTTTCAAAAAAAGACCGTTCATAAGTACAAGAAATAAGCAATCAAACACTTAGTACCAATGCTGTGTCGCTTAGCTCAGTGATGACTACTGACCTGACTGCAGTGTTGGGCAGTAGCGTCACTACAAGTAGCGCTGTTACTAGTTTAAGTACAATTCTCAGTAGCCTGATGGTAGAGTCGCTGTTTTCAAATAGCTTTTCAGTGGCAAAGCACTATTATTAATCACAAGCTACATTTTACCAAGCATTTCTTAAGCTCAAGCTTAAGTCTGAAATGTATCTGCTAAGGATCAGTAAGTGACGCCACCGCCATACTCGGACCTGTGTGTGTAACCGACAGAAGCACTACCATATGACGGTGACCTCACATATCAATCCCTGGACTGATGCTCTCCATGATGATACTGACTGAAACAACACAGAATACAGGAGCTTACTGTGCATGCCCCCAAAAGAAGCTACTCTCAAGTTCCAAGACATCAAATACAAATTTTCAGGGGCTTCCTGAATAAGTTAACACAACCATTGCCAACCAGCAATTCAGCACAGTCTGCAACTTGTGTAGCTACCCATGCAAACACAGGTGAGTAAGCCCACACATACAAAGATGAGACAGCTGGTTTTGTTATTATGTGGAGCACATTTTTTGTTTGTTTGTTTTTGTTGCCAAATCGGTTTTGGAACACAAAGTAGAGAGCACAGTTTAACAATTGCACTGAACAATTTTGCCTGCCTATCTGTTTGACAGTTTTAGTGATCACTGACATAGCATTGATTTTGAATATCTAAAAAATTGGCTTAGATGTAGGAAACCACTTTGCCATGTTGCTGTAGCTTAGCTTGCTACATTTCCCTGGGGGTAGCTTCAGTGTAGTGAAGATTCTTTTAAGGTAGAGTAACTGGTAGCTTAGCTCACTTCATTTCCCAAGTAGGTTGCCCGACACTGCCTGACTGTCCCTTCAACCATGTTTACAAACAAAATTTCAAATGTCCAAAAAAGTACTACACTGATACTCACTGGTGGAAAAAATCCACATCCTGGCTGCCTTAATATTTAGTTTTACCCAAATGTTTTTGATGATTTTACATAACAGTCAACTCTAGAGGAAGCAGAAGCATTTTTGCTCAGTTGCAGGAAAATAGCTATAACAGAAGTGGGTGTTGTTTGGGGGTTGCTACTAAATTGCCTATGTTGTTCTGTGAAAACCATTATAAACCAGTATAACTATGTTGCACGTTATATTTCATAGCCGTTAGCCATTCTGTGGCCCATCTCGTGGCCCTCTCTTCATCAAAGCTCAAGCATGTCAATGAACATGATGCTTCTGTTCTGCTATTTGAGATCGAGTCAGCTATGCCTTGACATATGAGTGGGCCCTGCGCCTGTAGTGAGAATAGGGCTGACAGAGCAGAGGGAAAAGTAGGCACTGTAAAGGATGATTTAACATGAGCGGAGAGCTGGAATTGGCAACGTACGAGTAAAGTTCACTGTTGCAACTACAAATCGGCAGTGAAATGAATATGTGAAATGGCTCCTGTGAGTGGGAGTAAGTGGGAGGTAGAGAGACAAAGACATTTAGATTCAGACAAGAAATATTTGGGACAAGTGAATCAAACAGGACATACAATAGCAAAGTGGGGTGAACCTGGGAAACAAAAAAAGGATTTTAACTGATAGCCAATCATCCTTTTAAAACATTCTGCAGGGATGAGATTGTGTTTTCATGGTAAGAAACTGTGTTTGGCAAGGGGAGACATGGCACACGGCATGTTGTCCAGCTTTTCAAAGTGCTCTTTTCCCCTCTACCTTCTCATCTGGCCATTCTTTGCACAGGCGCCTAAAAGAACATTCTTTACTTGGCTGGCAGCACTGACAGGTTCTTTTCTGTCTTTCTCCTTTTTAAACTCTCCAAGACCTGAGAAGATGGAATAGGAGATTGTAGAGAAAAACCTCTTGAGTGCCAGAGTTTTGAGAGAACTTTAAAAGGGGAGTAGTTCAGATGATCCCAATGCTTTTGCACAAACAGAATTTCAATCACAGCTGAGGTTGTGTGCCTGCCCTGTATCAATGAATATACTGACGGCCACTTAAACCATTTCTTGTAGTGACGCCACATGGGAGGCAACCAGCTTTCACTCTTGTACAAAAACAATGCTTATTTGAATCATTGCCAGAATAGTTAAAGGCTTGGTCAAAATCCAAATATGCATAATTTGATCCCATCATCCCTCAGAATAAAAAAACAAACACTGCAATGTATCCTTGAAACTTAATATATGGCCTTGAATTTTCTTTATCCAGTATATTGGCAGAGATTCACATTAATGTTTAATGGCTCTTTTGAGGTTTAAACTCCAAAGCAGTCAGATGGCTATTTGGTGGTATACACAGTTATCATTGCCTTAAATGCGCATAGTCAATATAATAAACCAGGCCAAGTTCCAGCGTGGAGAGACTGAGTAAAGAAAAGAAAATCCTTTGAAGAAATTATAACCCATCGCAAAATGTTTGAAGATACTGAGAGAACATAACAAGGATAAGTTTGGGTGTCTTAGTCATGAAATTATGAACATTTACCCCATCTTTTCAGTAGCCTACTTTTCCCTAAATATATCTTTTCTAATAAGATGCACAGGGTTAACTGGGTCCACTGAAATGTATTAATGTTTCACTGCTAATGATTGTGTAGGCTGATCTCCAAGTCTGATATGGAACCATGAAGTTACTTTTTGACTGTTGACGGTCTCATCTTCTCATGAGTTAATGGAAAGAAAAGGTGTGACTACTGATAGACTGCCAAAGAACAGTCTGTCCTATGTTTACTAGGGCTGTAACGGTTCTGAAACAAAGGACGAAGATCCGAGATCCGCTCCCCTGACAGTTTTTAAGTTAGTGCAAGCTGTATAGTATTACACCTTGACCAACTTTATTGTCTTCCAGCTGTGTGTCACGTGACTATTTTTGTCAAGCCATGATTGAATGATCACTCCTGCAACTTCGACTACATTAATTAACCCAAAATATAGTAATAATAATAATATTTGATAATAATAATGCCCCCCCTCAAAAAAAATTAAAAAATCAAAGGTCTGAACAGAACCGTTAATTTGTGTATCATCACACCCATGGTTCAAATTACGGGGAGGATTTGGGGAGTCTGACCCCCCCTAGTTAAGCCCTGGACCCCCCCCCCCCCAAAAGAGGCAAAACCAGCAGTTCAAGGTTGTCTTTCTTACCTGTATTTGTAAATATTACAATATATTTCCCGTACTCATGCCTTTATATTCAAGAATCTTGAAATATTATTTCAGACACTCCTAAAATGGACCGTACTATTTCCTAACATCGACGTTAGTTGAACGCCTTGTCTGTCTGCATCCAGTCCGGTGCATCACACGCTAATGGAGATGCTGCAGGTTAAGGTCAGTAGTTTACTATCCAGCTGCTTTAATACACTTATCTTTCCTACCTTCAGAGATTCACAATTAGCATTTCTTTTACTTAAAATGAGCTGATGTTAGCTAGCTGAGAGCCCACACTATGATTTCATTATAACTATGCAATTGTCAGCTAACACTGGTGTTTAGGCACGAGCAGTGAAATTGGGGATTAGTTATTGTAGAGATACATTTTTACATCAATATAGAGTTTATTATTTCATTTGAAGTATTTTGTCCTTTCACAATAAACATGGCATTTGTTTTAACTCTGGAATTCCCATTTGAAAAGGCACCTCTCTCTCTCAGACCAAATCACTTGATGAATGGAAGTATGTAATTGGATGCAATCACTCCACCCCCTCCCTTTCCTCTCTTGCATTCTAATGAGCTCTTAATGGGTCCTTGATTAGAAAAGGGCACAATAAACAGCTGTCAAGGCTGGCCAGGAAATGATGGATCATCCAGGAGACTTTGGTGTCCATTAAGCTCTATTCTGGGCTCAGTCACTAGTAGGTGAGAAGATGAAAAGAAAGTTTCATTATATTTAGTTTCCACCAAGTCAGTTCTCTGAGGAACAATGATTGCTTCAGTCTCAGAAACTGACAGATGGCTGTTGAAAACCAAGAAGAGAGTCCAGCCTGAGCATGCCAATATTGTGTAGATACCTCACATTTTCTTTCTAAACCAAAAGTGTATTTTCACTTTTATCATTATATACACAGTATAATGATGTATGGACATCTCAGTATAAGATCTCCATGGCTACTGTGTTATTTGCCCATAAGGGAGGTAAGGGAGATGTCAAAATAATAAAGTGATGCTAAGAGAAACTCAATTGTCAGAGGATATGCTTAACAGAAATGTCAGATCCATTAAAACATATTTATAATTTATCAAAAAGATTGTGATATTATGATTGCTTGTCAAAAACATGAAAAAGAACCCCACATCAAAGAAAGTCATACTATATCTACAATATTAAAATGTCTGATTTCCCTTCACATCCTGGCCTCTGGCTCATGTTATACCAGATTTACTGTAAACGTGAGCTGCAAACTCACAGGGGGAAAACATTAACAATAAACTCAGAGTCATTTTAACAAAAGGATGTGTAGGGATTTACTGTGCTACAAGATCACACTTTAAATCACACTTGCACTCACCAAACACAATTCGGGCAAGCCCAGAGATGTTCAGCAGTTCAAGGAAATACAAATCTAAATTGGCAGTTACAGTAAGAGCAATACTTTATTCAAAGCTGCACAAGTTATTTTTTGGTTGATGTTTCTGATCCTTGCATAAAATATTTCAGATGTAGGCATGCCAACAAGTTATACATGTCAATCCCTCCAAGTTGTTAAACCATCCTCCAATTCTTTCACGTGTTTCTTGCAAAGGGCCCCGGATGAATACATCTGGGATACCACAGTGTGTTGTCTCCACAGCGACTCATCCATTACAGGCTTTGATATCCTCTGCATCTGTGAGGTGCAGATAAATGCAAGAACATCCAACAGGGAATACATGTTTGTCACATTGGCTCTGGTTTTTATTCATAAGTTATGCAAGTAAAGGCACAGAGCAAGCATGAATTGTGAATTAGCATTAATGATTAATAAAACATGATAAGTCATTCTGAGTGTGCTGAAAATATTTATTCACTGTTGGCTTGCCATTTATGTTTCACCTGGCACAAGTACAAACTCATTATATATTTTGTGCCTCAGGTGCTCTGGGGAAGTGCACCCAAATTGAATTGCATTAGAGATCTAAAGTAATCAGGCACTAAACAGACTGTACAGGTTAAATTTTCAGGCCTGGCACTACTTCTAAGTAAAAATATTAAAAAGGTTCTATTGTCTCAGAGCTTTGAAGAAAACACAGGAGCACCCCACTTTCAAATATAAGCACTGTAAGAAATAGAAGACAACACTGACATGTTTCTGGTAGAGCAGGAAGCTGAGGAGCCTTCCGAAAGAAGAGGAACTAATAAAAGGTGGACCTCAGCTGCTTTGTTCCAGTAGTTATTCTTAGTCTGACAGTCACTGCTGATGTATGATGAGAAGTGAAGGCCTGGCAACAGTAGCTGGTATTGTGTAGTGATATTCCAGAGGCAGGTGTGCCCCCTAAACGCTTATAAATAACCCCCATCCTTCCATCCAATGCTGTGGGCTTGAGTGATGCCTTCTTTCCTCAATGCCCCTGTGTGCTTTTCATCCCCATCAGTCATCACCACTGGACACACAAATACACACACACAAAACCAAACAAACATGACAACACAAGATAAGTACAAATTAAAAAAAAACAAACAAAAAAAAAAACAAGTGGGCATCCTTCAAGTAATAAGAAATATTATATCCTATGGAGGAGCATTACAGGAAATATAGGAGAAATGATAGAGCAGTGAAAGGACGAGATACAGAAATAGAAGTAGAATGGAAGGTGGAGTATAACAGGAGATTTACATGGGAGTCTCAGGTGTTGTCTCCATCATTATTAACCTCTTGCTTTTTTAAAAAACAAAGTCCAATGTCAGACTGAGCCAAATAGTTAGACTCCCACTCTCAAACTATCTCTAGTTAACAGCTGCTCCTTTCCCCTTTCTCCTTTTGTGTCAGCATCTTCCATCTCTGTCCATAGTCCTCATCCTCCTGTGACTTCCTGTTTGTCATTTCCCAGCCTTTAATTTTGTATTATTTTACCCAGGTGGGATAGAGCAGAGAGGGCTGAAATAAATATAGATTTCTTTAAGTGACAGTTATTCAGCAGACATTTATAGTTCCACCACAGCCAGTTGTTCTCCTGAGGCTGTTCCAGCTGTTCCTTTCAGCTGCTCAGGTCATTTTGGGCCAACCTCTTTTATTGTCCAGGGAGCTATTGTGTCATCCCTTAGTCACTTGTACCGCCGCCTGCAGATCGATCTGGCTCATGACAAGGATCTGTATCTATGTGTGTGTTTTGCGGTGTCCTTTTAGGAGTGTAGTGTATAAGGGAGGTGTCATTGGTCTATATTTACCAACTTAAGAATGAGAGAGCATTGTGTTGTCCACATTCTTGGCACTGAAGGACACTACGCATTCAGGGTCACCCTCAGCGCTTTATCAAGAGAGACAGAGGAGAGAGAGGGAGGTAGACGCAGACAGATAGTAGGAGGTGATACTGAGAGGACAAGTACTAAACAAGATCTTCAAGGACAGAGACAGACAGGCAGACAAAAAAGGAAGTGAGATATATCGGTTCTATAAAGCTTTGACATCCAGAGGACATCACCTGTTTCTTTAAAGAAAGCGTGAGTGGGATTTCCTTTACTCAGCCTTCATCTAAATCTAGCACAAATGACATTTGGCTTTTTTGCCTTTCATCAGGTAAGACAGGTTATTGATGCATCAATACATGACAACCCTCAATGAATATAAAACCACTATGTAGGAGTAAAAAGCACCCACTGTGTGCAGCAATACCAAACCTTCTTAAATCTGTTAATTATTATTATTTATTTGTATTGTCAGGAAGGTTTTATTTTTATTGTTGTCTCTCTTGAGAGTCTTTTCTTGTTTCTCCAGCTAGCTGAACTTCTTAATGGTCTTGTCTTTTGATGGCCTCAGTGGATGGAGCTTTAAATAACTCTCTGGGGATGGCATAAAGCAAGCTACTGTACTGTACAGACAACGCTTCCCCACCGTCAACGAGTAGAATAGTAAATGATTTGTCCCCTTGTTCCTCTGTTTATATTTTTTTTTGTTATCAGAGACCTGGAAACTGAGCACTCATTTCACTCCAGAGACTGAAAACTGCAGTGTGTGTAAATAAGAACGCTGCATTGCTTTTGCTCTGCTTCCCCCTGGGGCCTAGGATCCCAGCCTACCCATGGAGACTGATCAATTTTAATGTGCCAGAGGTTGACCTTCAATTAACAGTGTTCAAACAAACCTCCCTCCTTGCGCAACAGTGAGCCACAAAAAGAGCAACAGGGGAATCAGCTGGCCCGCTAGCTTATTAGCCTGTTAGCTAACTCGCTGCAGTTTTCCACAATGTAATTGAAGATGATAAGAAGAAATAACAAATTACGGTTGTTTATGGCGCTAACACAGGTGGTTGCTATTGGGAGTGGGTGAATGAAGCCATCACTCAGACGTGACCTGATTCTGTTTGTTGGGTAGGTTCTGCATTCTCTTCCCCAAAGAAGCCAAATGATTAATGATGGGCAGGGTGTGGGGAATGGCATGGCAGACCTCAACTGATGAATTATTAGTGGCTCTGCGACCCACAAAAGGGGTAATTCATTTAAACGTGGGACTGAAACACCTTTTCTCCACACCTACGCCTAAAACCACACACACACAAAAATACATGAAATGTACAGCAGTTTTCATGATTTGAAGTATTTCATTTCAAAATAGGTAAGACCCACCCATTTACCGAAAAGATAATTTGTCAGGATAATCAATGAAAATAATCATGTTGCAGCCCTGTTTACTTAAAATAAAATAGCTTCATATTAAAAGACTGTCTGTTTTCAAAGTGCTGACTATTGAATTTCCAACACCAGTTTTTCTCCCCAAAGTGACATTTTGAATTGTAACCCACTTATGTTAGGTGTGTTTGGAGCTCTTTTGGAAATTGAAGTCAGGACGCTGACACAAGTTTGAACCAAGATTGATATTGATTCAGAAACATTATGTTAATAGTAGCACTCCACTTTCTCTTTGGGTTGCTACTAGTCCCAAGACATTTCAAAATATCAGAAGACTTGTGCCTCTGCAGATAACAGTAATCTATCAGACAGCTAAATGACGCTGCTAGCATTTTGCATAACCTTAGCATATCCCTTGGGTTCAATTATAATTCTTTAGGGATGAGGCTGGCGCTGATTCACAATTCTGCACCACCATGATATGAAAGAGTCATGACTTTACCACCTCAACTAAGCAAAGTACTAGACATGTAAGTACAAGGTCCCATTTGAATACAAAGCACAACATAAATCGTTGTGTCTCTTGCCATGGCTGAAGCTTCCACAGTGTAAAGTGGCTCTTAATATGGCAATTCATCTGCATTCAATGTGAAACATACCGCTTTGAGCAGCTCCAGATATGAGTGACTGTTTACAAACATAAAGTAGCTATGTTTCTGGTCAGGGCTACACAGTGCTTTAAGTGTCTGACTTCCACTGACTCCGAATGGCACTGCCTCCTACACACCTCTGCATCCTCCCTCCCTCCCTCCTGACCTCCCCTGCCTCCACAGGTACCATTTGGGGAGTTACCATGGAAACCAGGATGGTGATGAAGCGAGAGCAGGAGGAGCAGTCGTCCCAGATGTCTCACAGCATGCGACTGTCCTCCCAGATAAAGAAGAAGACCTTCACTTCCAGGTGCAAACATGTTCTCTGGACATAATTTTTTGGTTCTTTGTTCAGTGAAATATCAGATAATTTTATGTCTTTTGGCCCCAAACTGTTATTTAAAATTAACTATATGAAATGTTTTAAATGGGAAATGTCTCTATGGTGAAAGACGTGCGAAATGTGACATAAGGTCCCAACTACACACTGCTTTTTCGTAAGAGGTCACAAGCCAAAAAGGTTGGAAACTACTGGTTTAATCTTTACAATGTGTTATATTTTATAAGCCATATTAAAATATTAGATTTTAATGTTGAATCTAATTTAAAAGTAACTATAGCTGTCAGATAAATTTGAATGTGTAAAAAGTAGACTATTTCTGTAGTGGGGTAGAACTATAAAAGAGCACAAACTGGAAACACTGGAAAGTAAAGTACTGACTTGTAGTTAGTTACATTCCACAATTGCCTGACATACAGTAGGATGGAGTAGGAAAGTAATATTGTTTCACCATTATCATATTACAACAGAATTGGAAAATGAGATGCAGTTTGTAGATTCCTTTATGCTACAAAAAGCAAATGACTGATAGAACAATTATATGATGATATACAGAAATAAACGAGGATGAATTATTTTTGTTAGAATGCTCGTTATTTTTAAAGGATGAGGCTGGCGATATTCTATGGTTTTCCTATTGTCAACAAATCCAGTGAAAAGACCAAATCCAACCATAAATTGATTCTAAATTGTAAAAATTTAAAATATTGCCTGCATAGCCATATCCTGATATGGCGTATTCCTGTGCGCCGTAGAGATCCATTGTCCAAAAAGTATTAATGAACATATCAGCGAATTTCATCATTAAAATGGGTGATGTTCCTACACTGCAATAAATATGGGCACTTACAGCAAATCTCACATTTACAGTCCTTTTGCAAATACTCACTAGTGCACCAAATACGCAGCTGAAAACAGTCCCCTGTTTGAGTAAAAAAATAAATAAACTCTGTATTCAAGACCTGTTATTTAAGATTTACATATTCAGAAGGAACAAATGGGCTTACGGAGTGTTACACACAGGCTGTGGACGTTGGAAAGTATTGAGAGACAGATTAACAGATCATTGGTTTTGGTGAGATTTGTTAAAAGTAATAAAAACATAGAATATAGTCAGCCTTATCCTTTAAGCAACACTTTAAGAAAACTTTTATAAAGTAATACAAAATAAAGTCTGGGCTTCCAATTAAAATTTAGAGGATTTACTGTTGATGGATTTATGGTGACCAAGTGCAAAAGCCAATGACACACACAAGCTGAGTTTTGGGGAGGACAAGACATTGGCTCATTATTTTTAACACCTATGTCATACATGTTTTAGTTTGGGAATCCTAACTGCAAGCTATTTAACACAAACACGCTCTCCCTCACCTTTGGGACAACACTGCTTCTGTATTTTCTAGCTACAAGGAAGTTGTATAATCAGTATTATTTAGAAGCAGCTTGAGGTGTTTTACACACTGAAAAACAATGTTCATCTGGACAAGTTATCAAGTCTCATATTCAGCCCTTAACCCGGATTTTAATTAAAACTGGAACATTTTGTCAATGAGTTGAGATAATTCAGTGTTATTCCAGTGCAGTATCTCTTGTTTCAATGTTTCTGAAATTAGTCTCCTGAAATTAGACAAAATGAGAAAATAATCTCTGTACTAATAAAGAAAATGGCAAGGAAGGCAACTAAACTGAAAAAAGAAAAACTCTTGAAACCTAGTTAAATTATCTGTATATTATCATCTATAAACAGATGTAAGAAAACAGACAAAAACTAGGATGTAAAATTAACATCTTAATTTTATTGCTAAGACTGAAAATGTTTTGCAACAAA